CTGAATTGAATTCATGCCAAACCCAAAGTCATGAAGACTAACCCCTATGTTTGTTTGTTTAATTTTTATCTATCAATTAGAGAGAGAGATGAAGGGGGAGAGAAACATCGATTTGTTGTTCTACTTATTTATGCATTCATTGGTTGATTCTTGTATGTTCCCTGACTGGGGATCGAACCTGCATCCTTGGCACGTCAGGGTGATGCTCTAACTAGCTGAGTTACCCAGCCAGGGCTTAACCCCTGTGTTTTCTTCTAAGAGTCTTATAGTTTTAGTTTTTACATTTAGGTCTTCGATTCATTTTGAATTAATTTTTGTGTATGGGGTAAGTGTCTAACTTCATTTTTTTTTAAGTGTGGCAGTTTTTGTCAAAGTCTAGGGTATTTAAATTTTAAGATGTAGGAACTGGAACAGGTTTACTTTAAAACCCGCATACCAGTTCCAGGTGTCAACGTAAGAAACATTGAAACCTGTAGAGAATTTTTGAGAGTTTATTTGAGTCAAACTGATCACATATGCCAAGTAGCAAGATCTCAAATGCTGTGGAGAATAACAGTTTTTTGTTGTTGTTGTTTAATCCTCACCAGAAGACATTTTGCATTTATCTTCAGAATGGGTGGGAGAGAGAGAAACATCAGTGTGAGAGAGACATATCAACTGGTTGCCACCCGCACAACCCCAACCCAGGCCAGGGTCAAACTGCAACCGAGGTATGTGTCCTTAGCGGGAACTGAACCAGGGCCTCTCTGGTCCGTGGGCCAATGTTCTAACCACTGAGCCAAACCAGCCAGGGTGAGAATAACAATTTCGTAGCTTTTATGCATTTGAAATTAAGGAGGGAATGTAAGGAAGATTACATGGAGGTGGGAAAATGTAATGCAGGGGTTGGATTACAGGGTAGTTAACAAGATCATGTGCTCTTGCGAGGGCTATTGCTTATTCATAGGTGTGTTAACCTAGATGCACAGAAACAGTGGATGGGGCTGGCTTTTTATATATATATATATATAATTAATTTTTTTTTTTCTTTATTGGTTTTAGAGAGGAAGGGAGAGGGATAGAGAGATAGAAACATTGATGAGAGAGAACATCGATTGGCCACCTCCTGCATGCCCCCCACTGGGGATTGGGCCCACAACCTGAGCATGTGCCTTGACTGGGAATCAAACAGGCGACCTTTTGATGCACGGGTCAACACTCAACCAGTGAGCCACACTGGCTGGGCATGAACAGGGCTTACTTAAAGCAAAGATAAACCTTTTACTGAAGAAGTTATGGGCCTGAGGCCTGACTACCCACCATGACCTGCCCATTTAGGAATTTATGATCAGATCACCCTATGAGGGCACTTTCCATAGAAGCCCTTTTTTCATCCAAACAGGTAAGACTGGTCTGGAGTGTGGCCATGGAAATGGATGCCTGAAGTGGAGGTGAAGACTGAACTCATTGCTAAAGTCTTCAAGTGAATGAATGACAGGGTGGGCCCAGGCAGAGGCACAGAGGTATAGATAGGTGATAGTAGCCCCCAGAGGAGCAGGAGTTTAACAAAAGTCTGGAGAAGTTGGATCTTGAAGAGACATTGAAAACAAGGAAGACATCAACTCCACCCCTTACTCTGAAATATGTGAGGAGTGGAAGAATTAGCTAAAACCTCTGCAATGAGAACTCTGCTAGTGAAGCAGTTGCTTCAGGGGAGAGTTAGGCTTTAGAGTTGGAAAGAGTGTTCACTGAAGTGGTGGAATCAGCAGTAGGGGAGTTTGTCTCTGGAAAAGAGTTTTCATGTCAGACCTCAGCCAAAACTGTGTGACCCTAGGGTAGCACTTTGGTTTCAGTGAGACCACACTTTGACTCTAATTTGGAGTCTCTTCAGCGCTCTGCCATTTGTATCTTCCTGTCCTGCCCTGGAAACAAAAGTAGTTTTCTCATTTGGAATAAAAGAGTTGCCTCATTTGACATTCCACTACAGACTAGAGGAGGTGGAGCATAAAACAGAGTTCCCTTATTAATCATGCTGATACTATTATATAAGATGTTTGAATTCAGTCATTGTGTGTGTGTGTCATTAACTAAGATCACATATATACACCAAGCAAGATTCTTGCAATTTCTGCTTCAGAACCTGCAGGGAACATAGAATCAAGGAAAGAACTGAATGATTACCACCCACCTATTCCCATCTCAAGAAGAGGGAACACATGATTGAGGGGAAATGGGAACAACCAAGGGTATTTGGTTGTTAAAAAGCTATGGGTAAAGGCTTGATTTTCATGGTGTGGGTGTGGTCAAGCAGTCTTCCTTAATTCTGTGTTTCATACCAGTATCGCCTTTCTGAGAATCTAACTCAGAACACTTAGAGGCCAAAATACCCAGGTGCTGAACAGGGAAGAACGAGGAAGAGGAATTAATTGGCTTGTCTGCGCCAGTCAGGCTGACTCAGCTGTATTTGAAGAAAGAGCAGGAACTTAGAGCTTCTTGCTTCATAAGGAATCTCTCAGTGAGTCTCTGATCAGATTCCTGAGGCCAGCCTGGGTCTAAGTTACAAAAGGATCTGGTTTAGGTCACGGCAGTTATACACATTTACCAGGTGGCAGAGGTGTATTAGTACCCTGACTTGTTAACCCAGTAATGGGGACTAGACCACCTCCCTTGAACCCATTTCTTTGTGTCCTCACAGGTCTCTAAACCTACCTCCCCAGCCTGTAGCTCTGCCTCCTTAAGTCCAAATCCTGGGAGGACAAGAAGATGAGAGTAACTCTATTCTAAATTTATTCCCCTTAGCATGAGCCTTAGCTGCACTCTTTTTCTGCCTAGAATTAGCCAGGAATATTATACCTGACCCTTTCCAGTGACCCCTATTTAGAGAATGGCCTAAACACCCTCCTTTGTGTGAACAGACCCACCACCTTCTCTGTCACAAGCAGGATTATCTGATCTTGATGTGGCAGGAGGGGGAAAGATGGTATAGAGGAGAGAGCTCTTGGGCTTTAATTTTTGTTTATTTCTAAGATGGATTTTTTTTTTTTTTAATCTTCACCCAAGGATATTTTTTTTCCATAGATTTTTTTTTTTCATGAGAGTGGAAGGGAGTGGGAGAGAGAAAAAAACATCAGTTGGTTGCCTCCCGTATGTGCCCCAACTGGGGCTAGGGATTAAACCCACAACCCAGGTATATGCCCTTGACCGGAAATCGAACCCAAGACCCTTCAGTGTGCTGGCCGATGCTCTAACTACTGAGCCACACCGGCCAGGGCTCTAAGATGGAATATTTAACTTGTTCTCTAAGATTTCCCTAGTCAAAATTTTATGATTATGTAATTTTTGTACAGACTTGTTAAGGGGATCTCATGCTGCAGAAAATTTAGTATTTATATCATAGACATAAAAATATAAGCCTTTTTTTTTTTCTTAAGAGAGAGAGTGGAAGGGAGAGGGAGAGAAAGAGAAACATCCATGGTGGAATGAAACATTGATCGGTGCTTCCTGCAATCCCTGACTGGGAGTTAAACTGACAACCTTTTGGTGCTCAGGACGGTGCCCCACCAAACCACACCAGCCAGGGCAAAGCCGCTATTTTTCAACTTGAGGATAATAGTGCTTTGGGAAATCATGGAATTATTACCAGGAGTTTGGAAATCCACTAGCTCAGCTAAATTTAAAGTATTGTTGAATGTATGGTTGTTGTTTGTCATTATGTTTTCTCAGACAGTGGATACTATACTGAACTGCTGTCTCATAGAGATCCATGATAAATTTAGATCCTAAAAGGGGGTTCACATAATCTAAAAGGTTGGGAATCTGTTCTAAGCTATTTTGATATGAGAGAATTTACAGCTTGAGTTACAGTGTAGTTATTAGGCACTGCATGTTTAAGAGACGATGCATAGGTAGAGAAATGATCAGCACAGGTTAAGCTCCTTCTGTATGCTAGGTACTTGACTGGCTCCCATCCATATTCCCTGGGTTCCTTCCCTAGAGGCTGCCACTGTTACCAGTTGATTGCATATCTCCCTGAAAAGCTTATACAGATGCGCGCACGCACGCACACACACACTTTTTTTTCTGTTTGTTTTTTACCCTCACCCGAGGACATTTTTGCATTTATCTTCAGAGCAGGAGGGAGAGAGGGTGGAAGAGGGAGAGAGAAACATAGATGTGAGAGAGACACATTGACTGGTCACCACCCACACGACCCCAACTGGGTCCGGGGCCAAACTGCAGCCAAAGTATGTGTCCTTAGCAGGAACCAAACCCAGGTCTCTCCAGTCTGCGGGTCGACACTCTAACCACTGAGCAAAACCGGTCAGGGCACACATTTTTTTAATGTGATTTTAACACTACAGTGCCTTTATCTTCTAGAAATTTTAGTAAGAATATTGATATGTTTGCTTTTAATTTTTAAGTTTGTTAAAAAAATGTTTTCCTGAAGACTGGAAAATGAAAAAATGCACCTTTCAGCCTTGGCTAGGTGGCTTGGTTGGAGTGTCATCATCCAGTACACCAAAAAAGATTGCAGGTTCATTTCCTAGACAGGGCACATACCTAGGTTGTGGGTTCAATTCCCAGTCAGTTGGCGCTTGTACTGGAGGCAGCCAGTCAATATTTCTCTCTCACGTTCATCTTCTCCCTTCCTCTCTCTCTCTCTCGAGTCAATGAAAACATATCCTCAGATGAGGATATAAATAAATATGCACCTTTTAGATCTTTCTTTCTCCTCACCTGAGTATATTTTTTCCATTTATATATATATTTTTTAGAGAGAGTGGAGGGGTGTGGAAGAGAGGGAAAAACATCAATTTGAGAGAGACACATCAGTTGATTGCCTCTCTGAGCGCATGCCGCAACCAGGGCCAGGGATCAAACCTGCAACCCAGGTACATGCCCTTGACTGGGAATCAAACCCGAGACCCTTCAATGTGCCATCCAGCGCTCTAGTCACTGAACTCACCGGCCAGGGCCATCTTTCAGATCTTATCTCCATAGATGATGGAAACTTTTTTCAGGGTGAAGAAGGGGAATACAGTGAAGAGGAAAACTCCAAAGTGGAATTGAAATCAGAAGCCAATGATGCTGCCAATTCTTCAGCAAAAGAAGAGAAGGGAGAAGAAAAGCCTGACCCCAAAGGCACTGTGACAGGAGAGAGACAAAGTGGGGATGGACAGGTCAGTACCCACCCAAGGCTTCCATTTTGGGGCTGGAAGAGGGGCTGTCAACTTTGGAGGGAGTAAGGAGCCCTTTGTCTTCCAGGAGAGCACAGAGCCTGTGGAGAACAAAGTACCTAAGCATTTGGATGATGATGAAGATCGAAAGAATCCAGCATACATACCCCGGAAAGGACTCTTCTTTGAGCATGATCTTCGAGGGCAAACTCAGGAAGAGGAAGTCAGGTAACAGCCACTTGCTGCTACTGTTTAGTATGTATTTAGAGTTTATTGTATGCTAGGCACTTTGCTGAGTGCTTTACCTGTGTTATTTCACTTACCACTCACAACATTTTTAAGGTAAGTATTACTTCTTGTACAAATGTGAAAAGAGAGGCTTAGAATATTTGGTAATTCTTGGTGAAGCAGCTGAGATCCACACCTACCTACCCTTCCACTGCCTTTCTTATTCTGAGGCTCAAGGCCTCTGGGATCTGAATTACTTGCATAGGCTCTGCCTTATAGGAGAGAGATGTTTTCAAGGTGCTGAGTAGTTTGAAGTGAAATCTTTTTTATTTCTATTCCCGTTGCATTTGAGCCCAGCAGGCCCTGATGTGCTATGATGCACTCTTGCTTTTGGGAGGCCTGTTTTGTATGATCTGAGAAGATGGAGAGAATACATGAAGTTTCTTCTGTTTCTCTGCCCAACCCTGTTTGTTTCATGAACATCTTTACTTGACAGATTCTGCCAACCTAAGACACTTTTTCTTGGTTTTATCCAGACCCAAGGGGCGTCAGCGAAAGCTGTGGAAGGATGAGGGTCGCTGGGAGCATGACAAGTTCCGGGAAGATGAACAGGCCCCAAAGTCCCGACAGGAGCTCATTGCTCTTTATGGATATGACATTCGTTCAGCTCACAATTCTGATGACATCAAGCCCCGAAGAATCCGGAAACCAAGGTATGGAAATTTTGGAGCCTAGACTTGACATGGTAGAAAGAACCCTGCTTTTTTATTATTTATTTATTTATTTTTGTTACAGATGTTTCTCCTTTTTTCCCCATTCACACCCTCCTCCCCATCCCCCACCCTGTCCCCAGCTTTGTTGTCCACATCTGTCTGTTATACGTACATGCATATAAGTTCTGTGGTTTATCTCTTCCCTCCCCCCAACTCCCTTCTGAGGGTTGTCAGTCTGCACCCTACTTCCACGTCTCTGGGTCTACCCTGTTCCTCAGGCTGTTATGTTCATTATATTCAATAAGTGAGATCATGTGATAATTTGTGTTTCTCTGCTTGGCTTGTTCCACTTCGGATAATACTCTCCAGGTCCCTCCATGTCATCTCAAAGGATAATAGATCTTTCTTTCTTACAGCTGCATAGTACTCCATTGCATATATGTACCACAGCTTTTTTATCCATTTGTCTACTGATGGACACTTGGGCTGTTTCCAGATCTTAGCTATATTTATTTTGTTAGTTAATTAGCTTTTTAAATACGTTTTTATTGATTTTTTCTTTTTTTGAGAGAGAGGAAAGGAGAGAAACAACAATATGAGAAACATCGATTGGCTGCTTCCTGCACACCCCCTACTGGAGATTGAGCCCACAACCCTGGGCACGTGCCCTGACTGGGAATCAACCGGGACCTCTCAGTCCATGGGATGACGCTCAATCCATTCAGCCACACCAGTTGGGCAGAACTCTTTTTTTTTTTTTTTTAATACCATTCCAGCAAGTAATTGAATAGGAGAGGAATATGGGAAGTCTTCCTGGTCCTCAGTTTAAGACTTTTTCTATTCTACTTATTCAGGTTTGGGAGTCCTCCACAAAGAGATCCAAACTGGATTGGTGAGCGGCCAAACAAGTCCCATCGCCACCAGGGTCCTGGGGGTACCCTACCCCCAAGGACATTTATCAACAGGAAAGCTGCAGGTACTGGCCGCATGTCTGCTTCCAGGAATTACTCTCGATCTGGGGGCTTCAAGGAAGGTCGTTCTGGATTTAGGCCTATGGAGGCTGGTGAGCAGCATGGTGGCCGGTCTGGTGAGACTGTTAAACATGAGAGTAATTATCGGTCACGGCGCCTGGAGCAGACTCCTGTGCGGGATCCATCTCCAGAAGCAGATGCTCAAGTACTTGGCAGTCCTGAGAAGGAAGAGGCAGCCTCAGAGATATCAGCTCCTGCTCCTGACACTGCACCACCACCCCCTGACAGGCCTGTTGAGAAGAAATCCTATTCCCGGGCAAGAAGAACCAGAATCAAAGCTGGAGATGCAGTCAAAGTTGCAGAGGAGGTGCCCCCTCCACCTGAAGGGCTGACCCCTGTACCTCAAGTTCCAGAAACTACACCTCCTCCACCTGCTAAGACTGGGAACTGGGAGGCTCCAGTGGATTCTACTACAGGTGGACTTGAGCAAGATGTGGCACAACTAAATATAACAGAACAGAATTGGAATCCAGGGCAACCTTCATTCTTGCAACCACGCGAACTTCGGGGTAGGTACCTTAGGGTTAATAACTAGATTTTTTTCCTTTGCATCATTGATTTAGGGGCATGAAACTTAATCTCTCTCAGGGATGTAGTGTCTGACAAATATCTGTTTTCATTAACTGCAGAAAACAGGTGGATTCCTAGGTATATTTATCCCAGGACCTCAGAGCAGTTTTATCAGTTATCTAAGGTTGCCCTACTACTTTGCTTACTATTAACTGACCAGTCAGCAGTAATTAGCTCCTTACCCTGGCCGGTGTGGTTCAGTTGGTTGGAGTGTTATCCTGTACACTGACAGGTGGCGGGTTTGATTCCTGGACAGGGCACACACCTAGGTTGCAGGTTCAGTCACCATAAGGGAGGTAAATGGTTGATGTTTCTCTCTCTCCCTCTCCACCCTCTATCTAAACATCTTGGGTGAGGATTGAAAAAAAAAAAAAGAGCTCTTAGATACAGAATTCTTTACCACTCTCTGTAGAAAAGTAGAAGGCAGAGTTTTTATTATTTGAGATAATGGTTAAAGTTTGAAAGCAGAAACTTACTCATTTGAATTTGGATGAGAATCTTTTAATCTCTTTGAAAGGAAAGCCTCTCTAATTTCCTTAATCTTCTAGAGCCAGGCCACCCAAAACAACTTTATGTAATGATGCTTTTGAGTGCTTGTAATGTGGCCAGGGGTCTGAGTAATTGAACTTTTAATTTTAAACAATTGAAATTTAAATAGCTACATGTGTCTAGAGGGTATCAGATTGGACAGCACAGTTCTAGAGACTAGGACTTATCTAGCACCCATTTTGCCCATTCTTTGTCTTCTTCCTCCAACCAGATAGATCAAAGAATCTTTTCCTTAGTTTCTGAAATCTAATCTAAACTTACAGATTGGAAATCCTCATATAGACTGAGAGTTTCAGCATCCTTCTCTGGTGTGCATGGTTTTTTTGTTTTTGTTTTTTAACTTATTTTTCTTTATTGATTTCAGAGAGATAAGAAGGGAGAGGGAGAGAGATAGAAACATTGATATGAGAGAACATTGATTGGCCGCCTCCCACACGCCCCCCACTGGGGGTTCGGCTCACAACCTGGGCATGTGCCCTGAACAGAAATCGTACTGGTGACCTCTGGGTGTGTGAGTTGTGCTCAACCACTGAGCTGCACTGGCAGGGCTTTTTTTTTTTCTTTTCTTTTTCCTTGATTGATTTTAGAGAAAGAGGATGTACATGGCTTTTGAATAGTGAAAACCATTGTAGCCTAAACTGGACCTGGAGTGGATCTTTGAATGGAAGAGTATATCCTTTTACTGGTATTTTATTATCATCACAAGAATGTAATCCTTTTTTGTTGTTCTTCTGAGCCATTTTTAGCCAGAGAGGAATCTCTTCCCAAACTCTCAGGCCAGACCTAGGTGGCTAGATATAATCAAGTAGGTTTACAGAACATCCCTCACTGTCCAATTGTTCAGAAACTTTTGGGATGAGGTTTTTTACTGTGTTTGATAATGTAATGTGCTAATTGTAACCTCCCAGGGATTCTGTGCAGGGAAGTATTTGGTGGGAAAAATTTGAACTTGTATTTTCTCACTGAAGTAATTTTTTTTTTTTTTTAATCCTCACCCGAGGACATTTTTTGTTCAGGTAGAGTGGGAGGGAGAGAGAGGAACAGAGACAGAGAGAGAAACATCGATGTGAAAGGGACACATCAAGTGGCTGCCACCCACACAACCCAACCAGGGCCGGGGACAAACTGCAACCGAGGTACGCGCCCTTAGCAGAACCGAACCCGGGTCTCTCAGGACCGCAGGCCAACGCTCTAACCGCTGAGCCAAACCGGCCAGGGCTGAAGTAATTTTTTTAATTTTCATTTTCAAAGGCCTTTTGGGGGTAAATTACCAGATGCTGGCATTGACAGGAAGCAGAGATAGTTTAAAAGAGATTTTGTTAGTAGGTTTTTTTTTTGGTATGTGCCCCTAACGGGAACCGAACCCGGGACTCTCTGGTCCACAGGTCGAGGCTCCAACCACTGAGCCAAACCAGCCAGGGCAGGATTTTGTTAGTTTAAAAGCAGAAAGTCATTTACCTCATTGGATTCTTTTTTTAAATCCTCACTTGAGGACATTTTTCCACTTTTTATTCAGATAGAGTGGGAGGAGAGAGAGAGAGAGAAACATCGACATGAAAGGGACACATCGAGTGACTGCCACCTGCACGACCCAACCAGGGCCGGGGACAAACTGCAACCGAGGTACATGCCCTTAGCGGAACCAAATGCAGGCCTCTCTGGACCGCAGACTGATGCTCTAACCGCTGAGCCAAACCAGCCAGGGCTTACATTTTTTTCTTTATTGAATTTTAGAGAGGAAGGGAGAGGGAGAGAGAGACAGAAACATCAATAGGCCACCTTCTGCATGCCCCCCACTGGGGATTGGGCCCACAACCTGGGCATGTGCCCTGACCAGGAATTGAACTGGTGACCTCTTGGTGCATGGGTCAACACTCAACCACTGAGCCACACCAGCCAGGCACATTGGATTCTCTAACCTGTCATTTTCTTGATGGTATCTTTGAGTTTCACATTTGTCTACCCTGCAGCAGTGACTTTTTTGGTGTATTACAGGTATGCACAACCATATACACATGGGAGCAGGACCTCCACCACAGTTTAACCGGATGGAAGAAATGGTACAGAAGGGGGAAAGTGTTAGATGGAGAAGGGAGAGGGAGCTGCATGTAATAGCTTTTGAAATCACTTTTCCCATCAATTACCCATGTTTCATTAATTTGGGTCTCCAGAGGGTTTAGGTTCAAATCTTGATGTTTTTCACTGATTTTTCAATTTATTTTGCAAATGTTTCTTAAACACTTTCCATGTACAAAGTCCCACTTAAAGGAGGGTTGGGAATTTGAATGAATCTCAGCCTTCTGGAAGTCTTTTTGCTCAGGTCTATTTCTTTATTTCAGGGTGTCCAGGGTGGGCGAGCCAAACGCTATTCATCTCAGCGGCAGAGACCTGTGCCAGAGCCCCCTGCCCCTCCTGTGCATATCAGTATCATGGAGGGACATTACTATGATCCACGTGAGTTTTTCTCTTATTGTTGGGGTATCTTTTTTGGCATGGTGAAGCAAACTAAGAGACTAGCCTCCTGCCTTCTAGATTTTCTTTTTGACCCCTCACAGTGATTATTGTCTGGTTGCTGTTTTCTTCACATGGAAAATTGAGAGCATCTCCTAAAGGGCTTGGGGGATGGGGAGACTTGTCCATGTGATATGAAGAATGAGAGTTTATGATAGTCCCAATGTGATATTTTACAGTGCAGTTCCAGGGACCAATCTATACCCATGGTGACAGCCCTGCCCCACTGCCTCCTCAGGGCATGATTGTGCAGCCAGAAATGCACCTTCCCCACCCAGGTAAGCATTGCACCTCTCATTGTATGCTTCCAGTACATGAGGATGTGTGTTGGGGGCTTTACAAACCCCATCCTCCTGAATTCTGTGCTGCTTACCTATGAGCCACTTTGGCTGCTTGGGCAGCAAACCTCATGGGTCCATCCTGAGGACTTCCATCCTGAGCCTGTTTGTACTAGAAATGGTGTTATTTTGTATTTCAATTTTTGTTTTCCTCTCTTTGTTCAGGTTTACATCCCCATCAGACACCAGCACCTCTGCCCAATCCAGGCCTCTATCCCCCACCAGTGTCCATGTCTCCAGGACAGCCACCACCCCAGCCATTGCTTGCTCCTACTTACTTTTCTGCTCCAGGCGTCATGAACTTTGGTAGTCCCAGTTACCCTTATGCTCCAGGGGCACTGCCTCCTCCACCACCTCCTCATCTATATCCTAATACACAGGTGAGATGGCTAATGAACAGATTTTTATAGGTACACATCCTTTAAATCAAACAGGAATGTGGTATGGGGAGAACACTCAAGAAATTTGAGAGAATATTTCTTTTTTTTTTTTTCATTTTTTGTTCAGATAGAGTAGGAGGGGGAGAGAGGAATAGAGAGAGAGAAACATCGACGTGAAAGGGACACATCAAGTGGTCACCACCCACACGACCCAACCAGGGCCAGGGACAAACTGCAACTGAGATATGTGCCCTTAGTGGGAACCGAACCCGGGTCTCTGGACCGCAGGCCGATGCTCCAACCACTGAGCCACACCAGCCAGGGTGAGAGAATATTTCAATGCCACTGATTTGCATGTGGTGGTGTCAGGATGCCTCTTGGTGGTCAGCAGCTGGAAATGCAGCTTATATAATGCTTATCATCTGTGTATTCTCTTCAGTTTCTTTAATAGTGTTTCATCTAACTGTTTTAGTATGTCTTAGGTGGCCATTTATTCAACTGCATAAAGAAACTATTCTGCCCTGGCTGGTATGGCCCAGAATGTCGGCCTACAGACTGATAGGTCTCAGGTTTGATTCCCAGTCAAGGGCATGTACCTGGATTGTAGGCTCCATCCCTGGCCTTGGTCAGGGCACATGCAGGAGACAACCAATCATCAGTGTGTCTCTCTCACATCAGTGTATCCCCCCCCACCCCCGAAAAGTCAGTGGAAAAAATATCTTCAGGTGAGGATTAACCGAAAGAATCTATATTTTATTTACCAGCCCTACCTCTGCTTGTACTGTTTAACTCCCAATAGATTGAAACCACCTGGTATCTAGAGTGTCCCAGCTGAGTTCAGCCTCTTCCATTTGTCAGCTGATGACAGGAATTAGAAAAAGCTGGACAGTAATTTGAAGAAGTAGGAACCAAAGCATAATTAAGACATACTAAGACAGAAATGAATAATCATTTTATATTTAAGGGGGGCAGCTTAGAGATTTAACAATTATAAATTCCCTAATACTTTTATTTTTGTGCCTGAATAATGTTTTTTGTTCGTCATAGTTTGGATTAATTCCTAACTTTCTCTTCTGGCTTATTGGGGTGTCCAGGCCCCATCACAGGTATATGGAGGAGTGACTTACTATAATCCTGCCCAGCAACAGGTGCAGCCAAAGCCCTCCCCACCCCGGAGGACTCCTCAGCCAGTCACCATCAAGCCCCCACCACCCGAGGTATGAGAGTTTCTTCCTATGCTTTAGGGCACATCCTACATCAGTGGGCTTTCCTTTTCTTTAGAAGATTTTCCTTCTGTTCTGGGTGTGTTTCTATGGAAACAGTAATCATTTTTTTTTTAATGACCTGATAATTTTAATTTTTTATTTCAGGTTGTAAGCAGGGGTTCCAGTTAGTATGAGTTTCAGATTATTTTAAATCTAACGATATAAAAGTAAGTGCACCATTTACTATGACTCTTACAAAACATTTTTAAAACTAATGCTCATGCTTAGTTGCCTAACAATTGCCTAATTAATGCTTTAAGTTGTAAACATGGGTTATCCTTGGGGAAGACTTAAGTCTTAAAATTTGCCAGTTTGTTTTGCGATTGCATTAGCAGGGTTGAAGTAGAAATCACTGTTAACTTGGTAGAATTTCATTTGGGAAGCTGCAAGGAAAAAAGGTAGGAGGGCATTTTTTGTTAAGGAGAAAGGAAATCTAAATTTGAGGTGTTACCTCAGCCATAAAATCTTACCATTTGCGACAACAGCATGGATGGACCTAGAGGATATTATGCTTAATAAATCAGTCAGAGAAAGACAAATACCATATGATTTCACTTTCTTAAAAAAAATATGTTTTCATTGATTTTTTAGAGAGGAAGGGAGAGAGATAGAAACATTGAAGGGAGAGAGAGAGAACATTGATTTGAGAGAGAAACATTGATAGGCTGCCTTCTGCACGCCTGGTGATCGGTCCTGCAGCCTGAGCATGTGCCCTGACTGGGAATCAAACCAGGACCTCTCAGTCCATGGGACCACGCTCAATCCACTGAGCTGTTTATTAGATTCCACATAAAAGTGAAATTGGCCAGTGTGGCTCAGTGGATTGAGTGTGGTCCCATGGACTGAGAGGTCCCGGAGCGATTCCTAGTCAGGGCACATGCAGTAGGGGTCATGCAGGAGGCAACCAATCAATGTTTTTCTCTCTCCCTTCCTCTCTCTCTAAAAAAAATCAATAAAAGCATATTTAAAAAACAAACGAACAAAGTTGAAACAGACATGGATACAGAGACTAGACGGATGGTTGCCAGAGGGGAGGGGAACTTGGGAAACTGGGTGAAAAAGGTGAATGGATTAACAAGTACAGATTGGTAGTTACAAAATAGTCATGGGGAATGTAAAGTATAGCATAGGGAATATAGTCACTGATATTGTAATGACTATGTATGGTGCCAGGCGGGTACTGGAAATATCGGGGAACACTATATAAAGTATATGCTTGTCTAACCACTATGCTGTACGCCTGAAACTAATACAAAATAATATTGAATGTAAGTTGTAATTGAAAAATAAAAAATTATATAGTAAATAAATAGATAAATTTAAAGTGTTACAGTAGAGCCAATTCTAAAGGTCATGGAGAAAGACCATGGGGGTTTTGTTGTTGGGTTTTTTTTGGACATTACTTTAAAACACATTATTTAGAATGTGACTTTTTGAAAACGACTTGTAAAAACCCAGAAGGTCTACTAACACTGGTCATTATTCCCTTTTCCCCACCCCTGTCAGAACAGTAGAGGTGGAACCCAGGAAAGAAGAGAAATACAACTGGCTGTCTACTACCAGGAGGGCTTCAAAGATGAAGGGTGGCTCCTACCAGCAAGCAGCTGAATAAGGAGGACCCCTGCCTTCCTCTGAGGACAGGCTCTGTTAGAGAAAGAGAGAAACAAGTGGCCTTCCTCCCATCTCCATTCTTTGCTTGAGTTAGCTGTGCTCAGAGGAACAGAGATTCAGACAGCCCAAACTTCTGAGTCTACATCTAGGAACCCAGGTTTTTGGCTCTTCACTTTGTCCTGGGAAATTCAAGTGTCTTCTGCTCCCAGGGAAGCTCTTTCCTGTTTATTTTGTTTTCTGAGATGTTTTTAAAGCCTGGCTTGCTGTTCTTAAATTAATATTCTCTTCGTTTCTCTCTCTCTCTCTCTCTCTCTCTCTCTCTCTCTCTCTCTCTCTGCCTTTTAAGTGAGATGAGTTCATTTTTCTGGTTTGCTAGCTCCTCTGGTTCCCTTTTGGTTCTTCCTTGCAACCCAGATAATTGAGAATTTACCAGTTGGTCTTTTCCCACCAAATGTACAAAGAGCTGGCCTTTCACTTTTGGTTGGCCTTTGTTATTATATACTTGGATTCTTTTAACTCCTCTAAGCTCAAAGTTTGTGGTAGGAGCCCTTCTTCTTTACTTCAGTTTTTAGGAGTCTGAGTCTCCATCAGTCCCTGTACTCTGGTATGCTTCATACCTTTACTGAGGGCAGTCTCTGCATTGGGGAGAGATGGCAAATCACGTGTTTTTGCGAGAAAGGGAGGGTGGAGTGGGAGCCTTTGCACCTTAGGGATATATATATATATTCATACAGTTCTCAGGGCTCAGTCTTTGAGGTAAGTGGAATTAGAGGGCCCTGCTTTTCTTATTTCCATCCCTCCTATTGCACCCCTTTTCCAGTTACTGTGGACCAATGCATCTCTCTAGAGGCAAGTACTATCCAATAAGCAGTCTGCCTTGTCCTTGATAATTGCTCTTCTTCATGTATTTTCTGCTACAAGTGTTTTAGATGTTACTACCTTATTTTCCTCAAGTTCTTCTCCTGTCCTTGCAAGCAGAAGACACCGCACCTGGGCTTAAGGCCTAAGGAAGCCAGTCACTTTTGCGGCAAGGGCTCCTTTCTTCCCTATCCATTGGCGCTGAACCACTCTCCTGTTGCCTCTGTGGAAGAGATTCCTGTTATTGCAGCACTTGTGTCTGCCAGGGGTAACTTGACCACTGTCTCTGTCCTTCTACAGAACCCGAGGGAGAAGGTGGCAGCTTTATCTCTCCCCAAGTAATATCACTATTTCTATTCTCTTAAGCAGCTGGCCTGACCACTCTGAGTCACAGGTGTATGGGGAGGGAGAAGAGGCACTTAAGCTGTAACCCTAAAGGAGGAAATAACTAGGAGATTCTTCCAGGGGTAGCTGGTGATGTGCCTTTGGTAGGCTGTTTCCTTTGCCAGGCTGTTCCCTTTGCCTTAAACCTGAAGATGTCTCCTCAAGCCCTTGGGCAGCATGCCCAGATTCCCAGACCTTAAGACACTGTGACTGTCGTCTCTGTTGGTCCACTGTGTTTCATTGCAAGAATTTCTCCATGTGTGTTGTTACTATTTTAAAGGGTACACTTTTGTGATCGGTATTGTGACTTGAATATAATAAAATTTAGACTATAAACTTGGCTTTTTTGCATGAGTTTTGATTTGAGAGTGAGGGAAGATGACTCCTTGATTCCCAGACAATCACAACTCAAGCCAGCTCAGACTTGTGAAATGGAAGCCCACAAAGGTGAGGAGCCCCTGTGAAGCCACAAGAGTGTCTATATTCCCCATCAGTTATCTTTCCTGACCACATTGCCACATGGATTTCAGGACAAAATCTTGAGGTGCTGTTTACCCACATGAATATCATATCCCCTATGCCTGTCTTTGAGTTTGACAATAATTTTTCCAGGGTAATGTGCCAAATGTCAGTACAATTGGACTAGATCCCAGAAGAGGGCTAGGTGCAGGTAGCTAGCTAGCTTCTTGAAAAGGAAAGAGTCATCGCTGGCACTGAAGTATCAAGGACCACAGTCTAAGAAACAAACGTTCCTATCAATCTTCGTACAGGCAAAGAGGAAAGGCAATTGAAAGACCTCTAGCTGTGCCTCATGCTGCCAGCTATCTCTGCCACTTGGCCTCTGATGAGCACAGGGCAGTCTTAGCTTCGAGTCGACTGTTTTCTCCTCCAGATCCTGGGTGGGGTGGAAGTGCACTACAGAAGCTATCCTTAGTGTGGGGGAGCAATTGAATTTAATGGGGAGCTGGCAGCATCTGTTCTTGAGTCGCACAAATCCTTGTGCCCTGGGGGCGTGGACAGCATGGCACATCTTAAAATGACTGTTGGGACTCCCTTCACCTTTGGTGTTACTACAGTGCAAGGACCATGACTTTCCTCTCCCCCATCCCCAGTTCCTCTTCAAATGATGTCAGTTTGCTTCCCTTCTCCCCCACAGGGTGGTGGATATTTATGGGCCTGATCTGGGGTCATGTAAAGAATGCCAGCCAGCCTTGGGGGTGGGTTACTGGCAGGAGGAATGAGCGGTTTAAGATGCTTCCCCCTCACCCCTGCCTCTTGCTTTCTCTCTTAGATCCCATTGCTCTCTGTTGCCCTGGTAACCGGCTCAGCAAGAAGAAACCCAAGCTCAGCAAAGCCCCCAGGTTCTGTGCCCTCCCAGCCTGCTTCTCAGTGGGCAGAAGAGTGTAAGGGGCGGATAGAATCAACCTTAGATAGCCTTGCCCCATCCCCTTCTAGAAGTCCATGGCTTTTTGTATGCATCTCCTCACAGTTGTTAATTATTCCACCCTCTTTCCCTCAGTTTCTTCCATGATAGAGTATAGGTGCCCTGCCAGCCCTTCTCCCCCTTGTGGTCAGCACACACATCTGCTACCTTGTGGGCAATGCAGAACAGCAGAGAAAGAATCCCGAAGTCTCCCAGTATCTGCCACCTGCTTGTGTTGGGGTGTCTCTCTGGGGCAGTGATTTGCAGCCCTGGCTATTTTAATTACTTGGGGATCTTTTACAAAATACCACAAACCTTGGAGCCATTTCAGTATTTTTATTTATTTATTTTTTACCCTCACCCGAGGACATTTTTCCATTTTTTGTTCAGATAGAGTGGGAGGGAGGGAGAGGAAGAGAGAGAGAAACATCGACGTGAAAGAGACATATCGAGTGGTGCCGCCTGTACGACCAACCAGGGCTGGGACAAACTGCAACCGAAGTACATGCCCTTAGCGGGAACCGAACCCGGGTCTCTCTGGACTACAGGCCGACGTTCTAACCGCTGAGCCAAACCGGCCAGGGCCATTTCAGTATTTTTGAAAAGTTCTGGGTTCTAGTGTGCGGTTGGGGCAAATACCAGCGCTGTTCAAGGAGAACCATGACTCAATGCTGGCTTTCCTCCCTGATTCAAGATCTTGAACTTAGTCTCTGCCTGATATCCTTGAGTAGTTGGAGGGGTCCTAGGATCCTGTTCCCAAGGCTCCCAGTTTCTAGCAGTCTCTCTGCCCCTTTTATTTTCAGTCCCCACACTCTCTACACTCCCCAATTCTTCCCCCTTCCTAACTGACAATCCCAAATCCTGCCCAGAGAGGAGGTTACCAAGGCAACCAGCTTAATCTGGTAACTGTGGCATGTGCTGGGCGTGGAGCCCTCCCCTTTTCTTATTTGGTTCATAAAATGCCTGGGGAGCTCCAAGCCACTGCCAGTTTCCCCTCATAACCCCAGGGATATTGGGGTATCTAATAAAGGGAGCCCAGGAAGCTGATACTTGGATCTCTATTTCAGCTTCTTAGCCAAAATTGTGCTCTCTCCTATTTACTGTTCCCTTTCTAAATCCACAGATGGGTGTGCAAGCTCATTTCTGTGAACACATGCTCTAGCGTATATAGGACCAGATATGCACACACACCAATGCATGTGGAGTGCGCACCCTGTTTAGTTCTACCACCACTCCCAGGCTTTAGCATTCCTTGCCCCGCCTGGTCGGTGCACAGCAAATGGGTGCGGCATTGTCCAAGGCGTCTCAACCCATCTGGAACCTGGTGCCACTCCCCAACCTTGTTACCTTAATCTCGATGTGCTTATGCTGAGCATATCTCTACCCACCTTAGGAACAGAATGCTCCTGGCATAGGCATCAGGTATAAGGATTATTTGGAGTGCAAATTTGGCACCACCTTCCCCACTCCATGGTTGTGTCAACTCTGGGGGAGTGTTCTCTATACGTGATGTGAGATGGCAGCTCTGGAGCTTGTCACCCATCTCCACGGCCCTGCTTCTTTCTACTGCCAGCTGGGCTTAGGTATCCTTGTGCTCCTGGTCTCCTCCCCACTGCCTACTGTCTCTTCTCACCCCAACTAGACCTGCCACAACCTGCTGCTCCTCGCCTGGCTCCTACCTGCCTGCCAGTACCTGCCTTTCACAGGCCAGGCCCTCACCATCTATTGTGCTCTAACAGAAAGGTTAGATGAGTGCCGCCCCCGGGGCCAATGCCAATCCACTCAAGGTCTTCCCAGCCCTCTTGCAAGAAGGGAGATAAAGACCACATATTCCTGTATGTCAACAGAATACACTATCTAGGTTGAGAGTAATGGACACCCAATCAGCAGTTTTCGTAGGCCTCATCTGAGTACAGGTAGGTGAGTCAAGGCATGCAGGCCACAGATCTGCCCTGGTTCTTTGAAATGATACTAGGGTCCCCGTAAGCCCCCGAGCCAGGGGTCCCTCTCCATTGATATATCCCACTCTTACTTTTGTCCTTAATTGCTGCATCTTCTCTGAACTCTCCACCCAATCCCATTCAGCCGCTTAGAATCCCATGTGGCCCCCATGGTTAGTTCCAACGCCCAAGTTCAAGCCTCGCGCGGCCCAGGGGGCGGGCCCAGGAAAGGCAGGGGCGGGGACTGGGAGAGGGGGCGCGGTCTCAGTTCTGCCACCTTCCCCGCGGTCAGGAGCGCCGCCGCCGCCGCCGCCGCCGCCGCGTCCTCTCAGCCTTGCGCTCCGCCCGCTGCTTCTGCCGCGGCAGCCCGGCCCACGAGCGCAGAGCCGGGGCACTGGCCCCGCAGCCGACCCTCCCTTCGGGCAGCCTGCCGGTTGCAGCCGGCATGGGAGGCCGCTAAGGACGGGCACCACTTCCCTCTGGCATCTCCCCGGGCCACTGGCCACTGGACTCCTGCCAGCGAGCCTCGGGCAACTCGGGCCCCCAGTCCAGCGCCTGGCACGGCCCTCCGCTCTGCCCCTCCGGCTCTGAGCATCGTGTTCCCGCCCCCCCGCCCGCGCCTGGGACACCTGGGTCCCCCGGCGGCCCCGAGAAGAGGGGCGGGTGGGGGGGCATGAAGCCGCTGGAGAAATTTCTGAAGAAGCAGACGTCGCAGCTGGCGGGGCGAACGGTGGCGGGAGGTCCCGGCGGGGGTCCAGGGAGCTGCAGCGGGCCCGGAGGGGGTGGGGGACCTGGCGGGGGCGGCGGTTCAGCCGGGGGACCGCGGCCACTGCAGCGGCGTCAGAGCGTGTCTCGCCTGCTGCTCCCAGCTTTCCTTCGGGAGCCCCCCGCTGAGCCGGGGCTGGAGCCGCCCCCCGAGGAGGAAGGTGGAGAGCCGGCGGGGGTCACGGAGGAGCTCGGCAGCGGGGGACCCTGCTGGCTGCAGTTAGAGGAGGTGCCGGGGCCCGGGCCGCTCGGGGGAGGGGGGCCCCTGCGCTCCCCTTCCTCGTACTCCTCTGACGAGCTGTCTCCAGGCGAGCCCCTGACTTCCCCACCCTGGGCCCCCCTGGGCGCCCCCGAGCGGCCGGAGCATCTTCTGAATCGGGTTCTGCAGCGGCTGGCCGGAGTGGCCACCAGGGACAGCGCCGCCTCAGGTAAGGAGTCGGCTGGCTCATCCATCCCAGAGGAGGGGGTTGCCACCTGGTTCCTCTTCCCTGCCCTTGGAATGTCGGGCTGACGCTATGCTGGAGCCTCAGTGTTGGGTTAAGAGGTTGACTGAAGTGGGGTAGGGGCTCATCGGAGGAACAGACCCTTCTGTAGAACAGAAGTGGCGGTGCCACCTTGCTCCCTGTAGCTGCCTCATCCATAGCTGGGGAAAAAGCTGAACCTGTCTCTCCTTAAGCTACCCTTCATTTCCCTTGGACATTTTATCCATAGATTCTTGGGTCCCTGATATTGATTACGTCCTTCTGGGGCCCCAAATTAGGGCCTGACACACTAAGATGGAAGCTGCCCAGAGCAGCCTGTGTCCCCCTCCCCCACCAGGGTGCCCAAGCCTGAAAGACCTTCCAGGAGTCCCCCATTCTGTTTAGAAGGCCATAGCAGAGGGCTGGTCCAATCAGTGTGGGGCAGTGCCAGACAGGCACAGGGCCTGAGCTGGCTTTTGGGTTCCGGCAAAGGGATGCATTGTCCTTAGCAGCTTGAGGGGTGTGGGGGGTGTTCTAGTTGAAGGCTGACTCAGAGGTGTTGTTGGAAAAGAGGTGGCTAGCTAGACATCAGGGCCCTGTGGAGTCTAAGGGGGTCTGAGCCTTTCCAGCTCCCACCCTTCCCCTGGCAGGCCTCAGCACATGGCCTCTTTCAAAAATAATAACCACACCCTGAGAAGCGTATTCCCTAAATGATTATG